GAAGATTCACCACGTGATCCAGGATCCGCCAACCTTTCTTCCTTCTGTGCGTTTTTTGACCAGCAAACCACCCCTCAGTCTCCATCGAAGTCGAGACGTATATCCAGACCTACCCCCCTCGAACCAGATCCCATTCCGTTCCCAATGCTACCAAACCAGTACCAATCACACCGTCGACGACCATTATATCCGCTACCAAACCGTATTATCACCAAACCTAGGACAAATCATTATGGAAGCTACCCGCTCTAAAGAAATCTACCTTAATTATTGGATCATCTAACCTGAATCGAATTACCAAAACCAGTTCAGACACTGAAATACATTCTTACCCCGGTGCCCAAATCCATCACATACAGTCAATCCTGGAATCATACGACCATGATCCCAAACCTACTACCATTATTCTTCATGTAGGCCTCAACAACCGTGATCAGCTACCAAAGACCTCCTTTAACCAAGCCCAGAAATTAATCGCCACAGCCAACAAAACCTTCCCAAACTCTAAGATCCTCTTCACATGTATACCCATTTCAAATAAAATCTCGAAGAAAGCACAAAACCTCAGCACTCTCAACAACATGATGATGGAGTCCAGTATCAACAGCGCAACAATCTTACCACCCTACGAAGAAGAATACGAACCAGTTGATAATCTTCATTGGTCTCCAGAAACAGCAAACATCATTTATTTGTTTTGGATACACCAGCTTCAAGCGTCGAGTAAGTCTTTAAACTAATTACTGGGGATAAATATACTGAGAGGCCACCGCTAGGCCAAACTGTAGTTAACTTGAGCCGCAAAATTCTCACACCCCTTCAGCATTCAATCTTAGACCGTGGACTTAAATTTATTCCCACACCAAAGATAGCTAAATTGAATTATCTCCGACCATCCATTGAACGATTCCAATGAAATCTTAGCTGCACATATTTTTTTCGAAACCACCCCCCACGTGGTGCTAGAACAATGTTTATTCCTAAATCCACGTGGACACCCCCTCAGGCCGCCATCCATCCTGAAATATTGAAATCATTTGCGAGTATGAATAGCCAAACAGTGAACCTTTCCATAACACACGAAAACCCTAATCTCACACGAGTGGAACGTGAAGCGTTAAACTTACTTAAGAAAGACGATAGCATTGTTATTAAAAAGAGTGACAAAGGTTCATGTTGTGTCATTCTGAATAGGGAGGATTACGTTTCAGAAGCAGAGAATCAACTGAATAATCCTAAACATTATGCCATTTTACCGAAACCAATTTTCAAAGAAACTGCTAACATGATTAACAATATTCTTGCCGATTTAGTCAAAACTAGTTATCTCAAACAAAAACAATATGACTATCTGTCTGCCAAACCTGATTGTCACGAGAGACATTTGTACACTTTGCCTAAAATCCATAAGAATCCAACCAAGGAGTGGTTTATCTCGAATAAAATCCCTAAAGGCCGCCCGATTATATCTAACTGTGGTAGTGAGTCATATACAGTGTCAGAATACATTGATCATGTCTTACTACCTCTAGCATGTCAACATCGCCCCTACCTTAAAGACACAACCGATTTTGTCAATAAAATAAAAAATCTTCGAGTTCCCTCTAATGCTATTTTAATTTCTATCGACGTTTCTTCTATGTATACCAATATCGATAACACTACTGGTTTAACGACAGTTCGTAAAGCTTTTAATAGAAACCCAAATCTAAACAGACCCGACGATGCAATTCTACAGCTTTTAGAGATTTGTCTTAGTCGAAACGATTTCACATTTAATGGTAAAACTTATTTACAAACTTTAGGGACAGCAATGGGCAAACGATTGGNCCCTTCGTACGCAAACCTTTTCATGGCAGAGTGGGAA